TGCCCACTTAACAGACTGACATTCACTTGAATTGTAAGCCAAGAGAAGAAACGGTCTGTTTACTGGTAAAGAAATGCTGTTCTCTTTTGACCCATCTACTTTACAGCAGTAGTTAATTCTAGTGCTGGTAGAGAACACACCTGACGGTACCATACCAGAATGGTGGTTGTCATTGGGTGCATCTTTGTTCTTCCATCCTATTGAACCTTGAACGAAGCCTGGTGGACAAGTCCTCAACAGCCCTTGATAGATACAATACTGGCCTGTGAAACAAGAGATRTATGATTTAAAAAACTACAATTTACTTCATAAAAATTAATATATATCAACAGCACTAGCATCTTTATTGTACCATTGGGCCAAGGGTTGTCCTGTCCATTGTCCTTCTTCTTGATGCAGAAATATCTCTTTGTGATGGCCTGGTTGAAGATTCCTATAAGATGAGAGTACTGGGGCACCCTTGCTGTTGATTGGTTGTTTAGTCTTCTTTCCTCGTGCCACCAACCTCTACCCCACTCAGAACTAGACGGACAGCCAGTCTTAGGCTGAGGTAACCCATACCATCCACTGGGCCAGACACTCCCTGGAAATAAATAAATGAATACAGCAGGTCATGGAGAAATACATTAATACTAAATAAATAAAATGGGAATTAACAGTGGTAATACGCTAATAGATACTATAATAATAATAATAACTGTATTAACGTGTCTTTCGTTCTAGCTTAGAATTAGGAAACCAAATGGAGAGACCTATCTAACCCTAATAAAAACCCTTACAATCCATAGTTAATTATAAGCTATTTCCTATTCACATTCCCTCCCAACACCATCTATTCACCCCCCCCCCCCTCCCACTCTACCCCCTCCCCTCCCACATCCCTAGTACAGACTGGTATATTATATATAAATTATGTGTAGATAATAAAATAGTAGCTGAGTACCACAGGTTCGCACTCCCGCCAAATCAGACGCCCCACGTATATCCAGACACTGAAACTACTATCAGGACATCTGAGTTCGCGGGTATGGAAAACTGCAGCACACTGCATTACCTATAAGAATGAATTATTCAATAGATCAAGTAGAGACATGAATTAATTTAGACACAAAAAGCAGTCTTTACACTCCTGAGTAGAGATAGCCATATGGCCAAGTCCAACTTCCTTACTTGATTTCTAAACATATTAATTGGATACAGCCATTTTGAGCGATTTATCAAGCTTTGACCAATTGAAAGGGACCATATACCTTATACTGTGCCTCCCATATGTTATGGTGTTAAATCTTGGTATGAAGAAGTACCTACACACCCATTGCCATGGAAAAGGTCTGGTATATAGGGTGGAGCCAGATGGTTTTTGACCTTATACATAATTTGCGCTTTATCCTGTAGCCTACGATTTTGCAATGTTGAAAGTTTTGCCTCCTTTAAAAGCTGCTCGTATGAGCTACTCCTATCGCAGTAAATGGCCCTTAATGCGCGCTCTTGCAATCGTTCTTGCTTCCTAGCGACAAAGTGCCAGACGGTATGGCAATACGTAAGTTGCGATAGAATAAATGATTTATAAATCCTTAACTTAGCTATTGTTGGCAACATATTTCTCTGAGCCTCATAAGCACCCCCACTTCCTTCGCCCCCTTGCTACAGACATCCCTTATGTGATGGTTAAAGATCATCAATAGAAACCCCTAATAATTTCATTTAGTTTTCCATTCCATTTCCTTATTCGTCATGTTTATGTTCATATCCTTATTCTTGTGCTTTGGTCCCAAGCACATGGACTGAAATTTATCCTGGTTACACTTGAGTAAGTTGCCTTTATACCAGTCAGCGATATACCTTCCTTCATCGTTTAGGGCTTCCTCAACTTTCTTGATCTCTTTGCCACACGAGTACACTTGGTGGGCATCAGCATACATGATAAGGCTGGACTTGTCTATATTATAGACTAGGTCATTTTGAAATATGTTCCATAATAGGGGTCCCAGATTTGATCCCTGAGGACATTCCCTATCAACGTCTTGCCATTCACTCAGAATATCTGCACCCATCCTGACCCTTTTTTCTTCCCTTGAAATACGACCTTAATAGTTGTCTTGCGCTATCAGCATAGTGGTAAGCCTTAAGCTTCGCTAACAGCAACGGGGAATGAAGAGAGTCAAATGCCTTTGATAGGTCTGTTGATAGAATTCAAACAAAGTTTTTTCCATCCAGCGCCGTTTTCCAATCCTTCACTAACTTGACCAGTGTGGTTTCGCAGCTGTTCCTTTTGCGATAAGCAGTTAAGTTATTGTTTAGGCTTGTCTACTGAGCAATTGCTCGAATACTTTGCCCACAGCACTGAGAACTGTTACAGGTCTATAGTTTACCACATCTCTTTGTTCATCTTTCTTGTACACCGGCACCCAGATGCCCTTTTTCCATTCTGCAGGTCAATAGCCCTCTGCGATACAGCCGTTGTAGATTTTTGTTAATGATAGCGTTAAAGCCTTACTCATCATATGAAGAATCTTGGGAGGTACATTGTCATGATCTGCACTCTTCTTTACTTTTAGGTCCTTTAGAGCCTTCTCCTCTTCTCCTACGCTTAACTCAGAGAATTCTAAAGCTCGTACGTTGCATGATGCCAAATCTCTCTTCTCTGTTTATGACCAATTTAATATAGATATGGTTTCATTTCAAATGCGTAGGGCTAACAATAGCCCCACCAGGTGACTGGTTTTGTTCTGACTGTACTGCTTTGTTTGACTAGTATTGATAAAATGTTAAGGATATCAAAATTGTCAAGTAAGTATTAAGTATATTTCTGGTATAAAGCATACATTTTCTGATAGCTTATAGAATATAGATTCAAAAATGTATACTTAACATACGAGAAATATTTGGCCTAACAGGGTGGGGAATTTGGTGTTTAATCATGCTCCTCTACGGTGGGACATGTTCCAACATTTGCTTAGCTCATTTTTCAAATGCCCCACCAATCCCCACCCTGTCCCCGGTTGGGGGGGGGTGGGGGTGGGGGTTTACTTTGACTAGTGCATAAAGGTCTGATATTGACAAGGTACCATCTAAAAGTCTATTTATACTTATTGCAGAACATCCATCATCATGCACTTTTTTCAATGTATATATTAGGATGTGGACAGATATATCATTTTTCGACAAATATATATCAGTCGTCGATATTTAGAGCCTTCTTGACAAGCATACTATTAGGAACCCAGACAATCTATGAAACAACATTGTTTCTTTATGGAGAAAGTGAAATATGTTCACTATAACGGTCACGTAAGTAATCTTGCTTGCTATCGTTAGCAATAAATGTGCTGAAACTTATTCAAAGAAAAGTTAATTAATATTCATGACTGGCGATCATGGAGTGTCGATAGTTTTCTACTGCGATATAATTTCTATACTCATTAATAATTATTAACGATTGTGTCTTTATAATTTGTCGTTTGAAAAGGTTAGAAGTTAGGTTTCTTCTTTACATTCTAAGCATGGAACTCAAATCTGTTCAAACATGTTCGAATAAAGCTAGTGATTCAGAGATGAATAATTGAACAGAGTGCAAGGAAAGAAGCTTTAATAACACCATTTTGATACCTGAATAAACACTTGTCACGAACAAGATGGCTGGTACGACGACATGGAGTAGAATGCCTTCTTCAGCGAGGAATACCATRCGAATAATTWTATCATCAAAGTAGAAGATCTCTGAAGTCTTTTCGATCTCTTCTAATTCTTCCTCAACGACTCACTGAACATGCATGAGCTGATACAAGAATCGGTGATGACTGACCCTTYGTATTTATAGAACAACTAGACCCCTGACTTAGGAACCCTGTGGATAGGTAACGCATTCTCGATTAACTCTATTTCCTGCTTGGAGTTTCTTGAAGTTTTGTTTGTTGTTTGTGTTTGTATGTGGGCGGGGGGGGGGGGGGGGGGGGATTGTGCCATCAATATCATACCACATATAAATACAGAACTAAATTGATAGTTTTTCAATGTTTTTTTTAAATTGAATAACGAAAATATTTTTAATCTTTTCCATCTATTTACAATAAAAAAATATTTCTTGACAAATCCTTTTATAGTTAACTAGAGTATTTCTTTAGCTTGTGAAAGAAGTTTTATATTTAGCCGTGGAGCACCTCCTAGCCACAACGATCAAAGTAAAACAAAAGAAAACAAGGTAACTTGTCTCTACTCAACTATATATTTGAATTATCAGCCATGTTTGCGCATGCATGTTGCTCACGAAGATAAAAGTTAAAATGTCGAGGGGGTAGAGGAAAGGAGATTTTGTTCAGTTCCTCCTACCCAGAGCCCACGTTACTCTTGGTCAGCACCAAGAAACGTTTCAAGGTGCTGACCAAGAGGAACGTGGGCTCTGGGTACATCGTAGGTTACTGAAATGAGAGAAGAGTAGACTGTCATACTGTGAACATGACGGCCATATATCTTCTCGGGTGTTTTATTCACTTGCTAATGATTGAAACTATCATTAATGTAATGACTGGAAATACGTCTCTATCCTTAACAATCACTCGCTTGATCCTTTGGTACAGTAGGTTTTGGTTTTGGTAGATGATACCTGTAAAGATAAAGAGTTGAATGAGGAAGAAAATTAGTGCATTAAATGATACTTATCCGTTTGTTTCACGATGGAGATAAATGTATAAATTGAGATCGCCATTGTTGTTTGCTGAGTCAAGGAAGGCATTCAGATCTGACTGCACCCAAGAGAAAGTGAACTAAGAGAAGGAATCCCCGTGCCCCATCATGTGCACACTTTGATGCTATTTTTAGAATCATTGATGCTATTTTTAACTCATTACCATGCCCGCGCGATAATCATGCTTCCCTTTAATGCCTCGTTTTAGGACACGAAAAGCGCCATATTTCGCTACGTCCACGACAAAAACACAGGCTTTTGTTTACTCCAAGACTGGAAGACGCCTACCCTCAAGAAATCAACCAATCAGGTTCTTCGCTCAAAATATCTCCAAGCTAAAAATAGCATCAAACTGTGCACATGATAGTTACAAGGCTATATAGGTAGGATTCCTTCTCTTAGTTCATATTCTCTTGCTGCACCCTAATAACGTCCATAGGAACAGCAGTTAGAAATCCCTGAGTTATTGATAACGACTATAGGGAAACACTCTGCTCGGAGACGCCAACCGAACCAAACAGCCAATCACAGCATGAACTGACTAACCAATCACAGCACAGATGATCAGACGAATGTTATATAACAGAAACACCATCCTGTCTACACCATCGCCTGATGAAGACTAGCAGTTTTGCATGCACTCGAAACGTTGCTGTCCTCTACAAATGATTCTCAATCGTGAAACAAGCAGATAAGAGTATCATTTATTACATTTTAACGATTGATAATATTTTTCATTCCACTAAAATTACTATCCGTTTTAGTGCAACACCAAAAAAAAATTTTTTTAATGACCAAACGTCGCTATTTTTCCATTCCTGTGAGCTTGAAAACAACAGCCCAGAATAGATTTAGTTTAGCTCGAATTTCTCCACTTACTGATCCTGCTGGTCTTCTCCAAACAGCCTGGTCAATGCAATCCTCTCAGCTTCACTCATCTTATCTTCATCATCATTTTCATGTAGCTGACGTAACTCTTCATTTGTCACGTGACTAGAATGATCGGGGACTGGGTCAGATTCATACCCACATGGCGCAGAGGTCCTGGGACTAGTGTTTACATTTTGCAGTTCTGTGCTTGGGAAATCAGGTGGATTTCTGGGGAAAAAGAGAAAAAACATGAAGATTCCGGCTGAATATCACGAATCACAATTGTTGGGTCAAATGTTGGGATCAATGGGATTTTTGATGTTGGATGAATGGCAGTTTTTCACGACACAACAACCTGCCAACATTCTAGCTGCTGACAAATATTAGGCATCAGGCCATGTGTCATTCCCTGGAGTATGATTTCTTTGTTTAAACATTTACGCAAGAGACGACACATGAATATGGATGCAACTCAAACAAAGAATCTCAAGAGAATGACACATGGTCTGAAATGGGAAAACATTACATCAAAATATTTATTATGATCATCAGCCTATTGCTCACCTATCTAGACGTATCATTTCATCGTCTGAATCGAATGACGTATGTTCTCGAGACGTCCTCTGGGACATGCCAGTTTCAGTCTGATGCTCTTCGCTGGTTACTTGGAGTACAGCACACGAGGTATTTAGTTCCAGTCTATCACACTCGTCCATATTCCTGTATCGTAGAGAAGTTTTATCATTATTACACCATGTCGGACTAGATGTATACGAAGATATATCCCGCGGCTGACAGTATCAAAACACTGGCGATCGCAATCGGAAGGCTATTTTTCAGTCTTTGAGATCAGAGTGAGTATTCGAGGAGCTTCAACATTTTAACACAAATATTTCTAACCAGAAACCTCTACTCGAAGAACTTATGTTAATTTTTTTGAGCGTGGAGCCGGATATATTATGGATGATTGAGTTTTATAGCTACAAGATATAAACACCATATAGACCCCTTGCAGCACTTTGGAATGCATCTCAATCTGGGGGACAAAACAATAGGTTCCAATTCACATGTGATTGGAATTCTTTTTGTTTTGTCCCCCAGATCGAGCTGCTTTGACGCCACATGCAAGGGGTCTATGAGGCATGTTTGTACCCAAGTGCACAATGTTTGTTAAAATACTTACTCGTTCAATTCGGAAACAATTTCATCGATGGACAGCGAAGTTAGTCTTGAATATGCGATTCTGTTATTGAATAATAATAATAATAAGAATGATCGTAAGCGGTTTACGAGGACAAACAAATGGTGGGAGAATGATCACGTGACTCATCCAGACTCCAATCCAAGATGGCGCTGCAGGTGAACAATATAGTTATTGATGTGTCTTTAGGGTTAAGTCAGGGTTCTCGCGACAATCAAACCTACGACCGAGAAGCACTGGAGCTAGACAGTCTCTAGAACCCAGGGTATATATAGCAGTCTGCACGATATATTTAAATGCATTGATACAACTTAAGGATGTTGAATGGCTTCTGCTTCAGTTTAAACATATGGTCGACTATGATGCAAAACGGGCTCGCTACCAGTCTCCCAATTGAATTTCGAAAAGATGAAACCAGGCAACTACCTTGACAATCTCGTACCCAGAGCCTTTATTCCTTACTGCACACGCTCGACGAAATAATTTCGTCGAGCATGCGCAGTAAGAAATAAAGGTTCTGGGTACGAGATTGTTACCTTGATAAATACCTTTTCCTTCGTCGTCTCACGAGTATCACTGCAATACCTATAATTATGACAAGCCCTCCAGTCGGCAGTAGAGTGTACAGTAGTAGCCTCGTTTTGATGTTATTGCCATGGGAATAAAGATGATTAATTGTGCTATTGGTGGGAATTGTAAAGTTGTTGTAATGGCTGGACCTACTAAAAGTAGATTTGGTAAAATATTTCGTTGTAGTTTGTTCAAGAGTTGTCAACGGTAATGACGTCACTTTGGAATATGACGTATACGGTGAATGTGACGTAATGGATGTTGGTGGATGTGAAGGCGTTTTCATTTCTGCAGTAGAAGACACTGAAAAACGCACAATAAAACAACAATGAATAAAATGAAATACTGAAAATTGAATGAATTGAAATGAAAAAGTTTGTAAATAGTTACATTGGTGAAAATTAGAGAGATGAACTCGAGCTTGACAACCGGGGGAGGGGCGGGGTACGTGTGTTTCATTCTAATCGTCAAAACCAGGACAAAATTATGTGTGTATTCATGATTAGGTTCAAATAAACACAAATAAATATTTTATACTCCTTTTGAAGGTAATACAGTACCTGTAGGCGACCAGATGTGATAGTTGAACTCAAAATCGTACGTCCCAATTCTGTCATCAAAATGTAAAAGAACAAACAGCTGACTGGTTGATGACGTAATACTCCGGCCTAGAGGAGACTGGGTACTAGAGAATCTTCCCAGCGAGGGAGCAGACTCTTTACATCCATCCAACACCTCCAGGTAGCTGTTGATGTTACTGGCATGAAAGGTAAATCGAGTAAAACGAACAACTAAGAATTGAAATGGAAGTGGTGAATAAGGTTTGATGCACCATGCTGTGTGTCGTTCTTGATGGACAGATGTTTGGTTCAGATATCGTGAGATTGTTCCTTGGCTTGTGGTCAGAGTCTGGTTACTGTCTGAAACAACAAGAACAGTGATATCTTCGTATCTTTGAGTTACTATACACATATCCTTAACCTCAACCCCACAGCATGCCACAACACACCACACCACACCACATCACGCCACACCACACCACACCACACCACACCACACC